CAAAAACATCACTGTATTTACAATTATGCATTAACGCGAAAAGTGTATTTTTTCAGAATCTATGAAAAACCAATTGCTCACTTCTCGCGAAAGGTTTTAAAATTTGGGTATAGGTTATTTGATTTCTTACATACTAAATATATTTTAAAGTAAAAGAGAAAAAATAATTTCATGTTTTCCTTATTTTTTTTTATAAAAAATAAGTGCGCATTTGACCTTCATCTCACCTGTTGGAAAGTGATGATGAGGTCGACGATGTAACATGCACACCTAAACAATGACTACTGACTATATATTTTTGAATGAGGACAGTATGTCTTGAACTAGGTCATAAAAAGCTTGTCTCATTTTGAATTAAGTAGATTAATTGTTTCTCACAATATTCTATCGACGACGGTTGTATTGACGTGTAGAGATTAAAATTTTACGTTCAATAGTAAATAAATTGAATGTTACATATTTTAAGTTACAAGAGTGCGATATGATTTTAATTAAAAGTAATTGATCATTTATCGAGTTCTTAGGTTTTCGCAATTGTTATAGGAAGCATAGGAAATGAAACTATTTTTCCGAATTGAAATCGCGTATGTTTGTTTTTTCAAACAAACCAACGTTTCGGGCCCTTTACAGACCCATGGTGACGGTTGGCTGAAGTAGTACTGTCACACGCTGGTGGCCGTCTGGGGGGACCACCTCCCAGGAGGCGGCCCGAAGAGCCTCAGTAGCGGCGGACATGGTGGTCCGCCGAATACAACTGCTGGGGCTCGAGGTCCCCAACCTCGGGAGGCCGGGAGCCCCGTGCAGGAGGCTATACGCCGGAGTAACCCGGAGTATGGCCTTATACGGGGCCCACATTTGGAGTGGGGCCTTATCAGCGGCGACGAAGTCGCTGCAGAGGAGGCCCCAGAGGGTGGTCGCCCTGCGAATTTGCAGGGCGTACATGACGGTGGCCTGCGCTGCCGCATGCATCCTCGCCGGTACTCCGCCGTGGGACCTCAAAGCCGAGGTCTTGGCGGAGGTCCACACCTACCGGCGGAGAATGACGGACCTAGACGAGCGACCCGCTTCCCAAGAGGTCGAGCGGGAGCGCCGCCTCGCGGCACAGCGCATGCGGGACCGGTGGAAAGAGGGCTTGGCGGATCCCCCCTATGGCGCTCGTACCATAGGGGCGATCCGCTCTGTCCTCGTAGAGTGGGTAAACCGGTCCCACAGGCCACAGTCGTACCACCTTGTCAGATGCTGACTGGGCACGGGTGTTTCGGTCACTACCTGCACAAAGTGGCGAGGAGGCAACCGTCCCCGTCGTGTCACGAGTGCGGCGCTGTGGATGACACCGCGCAGCACACCCTAGAGGTGTGCAGCCGGTGGGATGGGCAGCGCCGCACTCTGACGGGGACTGTAGGGCAGGACCTCTCGCTGCCGAGCGTGGTTTTGCGTGTTGCGCAGAGGTTATGTCGCAAAAAGAGGCCGCGGAGCGGGTGCGCGAGGACGCGGCGGACGCGCACCCGCTTCGGCGCAGACGTACGGGGAGAAGGCGAAGGCAGTTCGCTGCTCGCCTGATCCCCTAGTGAGGCCAGCGGGCTCTGGACAGGGACTCCGGAGCCTGCTTTGCACGGCCTCACTCGTCTGGGGGGCGGGTCGGAGGACAACCGACTGGCTTCTCCGTTGGCGCGGGAGCCCTGGCGCAAGCTAGAGCGGCCGGGAGGCGTCGTGGTGAATGTTCACCGGTCCCACGACGCCGACTCAACCGGCGAGAGGGTAACCCGAGAGGGTTTTAGTGGGGTAGGCCCTCCAGTCTGAAAGGAGAGTCCCCACATAACCCCTGAGTCTCCCTGGGCTCAGTAAGGTATCCATAAAGATTCCCCCGTCAAAAAAAAAAAAGGTAGTACAGTCGTCAACCAGCTATGTATATATGTCTAACACAAACTACCCTATTTTTTTTACTATAGTTACCAAAGTTATAAATTAAATACCTTATTTTTAATTTTACAAAGAAACTTTCCAATTTACGCTACATCATGTTTTACAAATTATTTTAACAATATGAATTTTTATTAAGTTAAATTTGTTAATAATTAATAATGGAAATTAGAATAAATCAAAACATATCAATTAGTACTACAGTTTATGTCTGTTTGGGATTTTTCATCCGAGGAAATACTGGATCCCAAACTGGTGGGACGGAGAAACCATCTTCCCTGTAGTAATTAGGTGTTTTTTAATTTCAATGGCCACTCGCATCATCATAGATAAGGGACTTCTTTTGCAAGAACCAGGAGTTTGTCAAATTTCATTGAATGTGTAAGTTTATCCAAGACATGCTCGGAGACTGCAAACTTATTTACGCGACGTTGTTTATAGGGTGGTTTGCATTAATATTAGACACTGGTTGATGACTGTATCACCTCAGTTAACCGTGACCATAGGACCTTTAAAGGGGCCGAAACTTTGGTTTGTTTGAAAAAACAAATATACGCTTTATAAATACGGAAAAATTGTTTCATTTCCTATAATTAATCATTTATTATTTACTCATGATTTTTTTATTTGAAGGAAGAAATTGCAAACGTTTTTATATCGAATAGTAATTAAGTTCAGAATCGGAAATTGATGCTGGATGAGATACTCGTGTATAGTTAATTATATAGTATATTAATAGGTATCACAAACTTAATTATTTTATTCATAGTCCATACGTATCAATAAGTATTTTGCAAAGTTAATAAATAATTGGCCAGGTAAGTGTTATTATTTAAATTCTAATTACGCAAGCAGGTCGCGGGCTAGCTATCGACAAAAAATGTTCTTTTTCTATGCCATTGGTTATGTTATTAAACATTATATGTCCAATTTGGCTTTAATACCTATAGATAGATACGATACAGTAGCTGCCAAAATTCTCCACAAGATGCGTGACTCGTATCCAATTTATACATTACACAATTGACATAAAGTTAATTATGCTATGTACAATTTCGTTACAAAGAGTCGTTGCCATTTCGTTTCGAAACAATGTAAATTGAGCCTAAGTCAAAATGAGATTAAAGATGGATTGGAGATGATACCTATTTACGTGAAGTAAAGGATTTCAGGATGATAAATATACACAGAATTACAAGTAAACTAGTAGCAGTAGAACTCCTTGTGAAGAGTTCGTCCAGGGAAGTACTGCCTCCTTACCTATTTCTGCCGCCAAGCAGTAATGTCAGCATTGCTGTGTTCCGGTTTTGAAGGGCAAGGGTGCTGGTGAAATTACATGCACATGAGAATTGTCAACTTATGTCTCAGGGTTACAGGCGCAAGTGGCAGTGCCCCTCAGATCTTTGCGACTTAAAGCTCTGAGTGGCACTGCAACTGTTGTGGACAGGCGTGTCGCTTACCACCAGGCGCACGACTTGTTCGTCCCGTCACTTGATAACATAAAAAAATACATCTGAGTCTTAGTTTTCGATAGAACTACTGGTAACTCTCCCGAACTTCCATAATAATTCCATAAATCAATAATCTTTAAACTTTCGGATGAACGGAGTTATCTAACTAAAAATTTCATACAAAGTAATAGGGGTTAAAGTATGAAATTGCCGATTTGTACTGAAAATCTAAATTGTTTATTTTTTAAATTTTTAACAAATTTATTTAATCAAAATAGTTGCCATTATTATCTATACATTGCTGCCATCTAATGGAAAGGTTATTAATGCCTTTGCGATAGAACTCCGACGATCTAGACTGCACAAACTGTGTGAAAGCATTTTGTACTGCCTCCTGGGAAGAAAACTTCTTGTCACGTAGATAATTGTCCAAATCACGAAAAAAATGGTAGTCCGTTGGAGCAAGGTCTGGTGAATACGGAGGATGACGAATGGTTTCTAACTGCAGTTCCTGAAGGGTCAAAATGGTTTCTCGTGCTGTGTGAGGTCTCGCGTTGTCGTGGAGCAATAATGGTGAAGATCGATTCATGAGTCGGGGCTGTTTTACTGCTAGTTTTGTCAACATGGTTCGGAGTTCGGCACAATAGACATCTGCCGTTATTGCTTGACCAGATCGGAGAAAACTATAGTGAATAACACCATGCTGAGACCACCAAACAGTTACCATTACCTTTTTATTGGTAAGTTTTGCTTTAGGACACTGTTGTGGCATTTGACCTGGGGTCAGCCATTGCATTTTTCTTTTCCGGTTATCATAAAGAATCCACTTTTCATCACATGTTACAATTCGATCCAATATTCCTTCATTTCTGTACCGGTTCAACAAGGCAACACAAGTTTCAACACGCGTTTCTTTCTGCAGATCAGTCAAATCATGAGGCACCCATTTTTCGTATTTTTTTATTTTATTGATTTGACGCAAGTGAGTCAATATTGTGGGTAAGGTAACGTTAAACCATGCCGCTAATTCCTGGGTAGTTTGACTAGGATCGGCTTCCACTATCTCTCTTAATTCATCGTTATTCACCTGTATGGGCGGTCTTCCTCGTGACTCGTTCTTTAAGTCGAAATTTCCATCATGAAAGCGTTTAAACCAAAATCGCACGGTGCGTTCATTAGTAGACCCCTCTCCAAACGCAGCATTGATATTGCGGGCTGTTTCTGCCGCGTTAGTTCCGCGTCGGAACTCGTATTCAAAAATCACTCGAATTTTCGCAGTATCCATCTTTCTTGTCTAAATTGAATAACAAAAACAATTGAAAGTCGATATTCAAATGTTTCAAATTTAAAAAAAAAAAAATCACAGAAACCATTTGAAAAAAGTTTCATTCGAAAACCTCAAACCATGAAGATTCTATGAAAATTCAAAGAACCTATTGCAATAAAACGGCAATTTCATACTTTAACCCCTAATATATCTTTGCCCAATTATACACTTTGTTTGCAGAGCATACCCTAGTACTGTCTTTTCTTCACAAATAATAAAATAAGAAATTAAAGAATATTACGAACGAGATACGCCTAGAGCGAGATGGTAAAATGAAGATAGTAAAGTTAGATTCAACTTACCCTTAACAGTAATTTGTTTAGACTTTAAACTTCCCTGGCTGGAAGGTGGCAGGACGTATAGTGCTCCGGGCGACTGTGGCAAAGTTTTAGGCACCTGAAGAGAACACAAACTTAACACTTGTGTCTACTGTATACTAGCAAGTTATAATTTAAAGCACACTCAGCTTTATGCTTTGGATATTGAACCGTTCTTAAAACGATACAGAGTTGACTTTAAAACTATGGTATAAAGCTGAGAGTCTTATAAAGAAAATATGATATTCAATAATATTGTAGGAGATGGAATGTGCCCACTAAGGACTTTACATTTGATATAATTTTTTCTTACTTTTACTTTGAAACTTCCACTAGAATTTTCTAATTAAAAACGAGACTAAACGTAACAGTAACTCAATTTAAAAATATTTCAATTCCATTTCATACGATTTCAAAACTAAGTTGCCTCTTTGTACTTTTAATATACTATAATAAAAACATGGCTTTTTATTGTAAATAGTGTAACAATTAGAACACGGAATACAAAAATCCTGAAACTAAATAAAGAAAAAACCAGAGAGAGCCGCAGCGCGCAGTGATAAATAAACAAGTGGATAAGCATCCAATTTTAAGAATAACGAACTCACTTGAGGCTGAGCCCCGCCAGAAGAAGACGAAGAAGCCATCGGACTGGTGATAGGTCTTGACGATGATGACGATGATGGGGACGTGGAACTTACTGATGTTATTACTGTGCAAAAATCAATCAAACGTAATTTATTGGTAGAATTAAGAAACACAGCATAGGAAATATTTATTTTCACCAATTACTCATCACCATAATAATGTTGATTGTTGTCCAAACATTAAAGAAATCTAAGTGACGAGTTAAATTAATTTTTAAATTTGATTATATAAATAAATTCATAAAAGGAAGATGTAAGAGATTTGAAACTTTAAAATAACATTCTCACCAGGCAAAGCAAGACTGGAATTTTTAATGCTATAATAAGGAGGAGGTTTCACCCCCGAAATGGCTGAAGTAACTTGTGGCACATAAGCTGAAACAAAATAACTTATTTGTAAAATACCCAATAAAGTTATTCAGCATTTCGAAAGATTTGAATCAAAGACATGCATACTTTATTGTTCCATACGTAATAGTACCTCATAATAAGAAAATGTATATCTTGCAATTATAAATATTAGACGATGAGCAGAAATGTTTTCCATTCATTCAATTATAGACTAATATGGATGTGGAATAATATCATCACAGCTACTGTCGCTATGATCAAAACCTATTTTCAGACACATTTTCAAACACAGAAAAATTCTCTCAAAATAATTATATAAGTAAGTATGCTTACATAAAGGCCCGCTGCCTCTTAAGTAAGGATTCCCATAAGTAGCAGCGTATCGGACGTCTGCTCCGCCAACCGCTATTCCAGGATTGGCCATCGGTATAACTGCAAAAATAACATCAAGTTGAGCTTCTCTGCTGTTAAAGCGATCATAATATCCGAATTGAACAAACTTTTCAAGTCATAGAAAGAAAAAAAGGTAAAGGTATTTATTAAAAATACCTTATAAAAATCAAATACCGGAAAATCTCAAACGCTAAAATTTCAAAATTTTGTTTCCGTCATTCATCGTTTCGAAACAAAGTTGTGCTAGAAGATCCAACTCAGGCTGTCTCGTAATATCTGAATGGTGCACTCTCTTAGCTTAACAGAAGTCGTAATACCTATTTATAACTGGAATCTTCATCATCGAAGTTCACTCACCATCAGGTCCAACCATTCCACCTAATCTCCCGCAACTGGCCTGTCTATGTAATGAGCCACAGTGACTCGGATATGTATCATTACTTCTAGTCAAGGATCCTGTCAGGGAATCTCCTGTAGGAGGGGCATAGTCTCTTGTATAGTCCACGTAAGGTACGTAACCATTGCTTTGACTGTGTGCCTGAAAGGTGAGAATCTTAATCGTCAAATAATATTTTAAGATTTCTAAAATACATGTTCTTAAAACATGATTTCTTTATAATAAACATACACGATACTGATAGAGATTTGAAGGAAAATCATGAAAGCGTACAGCGTGGTCTTAAAAAAGAAATACATACCCCAATAAAAACGATAATTTTGATGGTCTCCTTAAAAGCAATATTGACAAGGTTTAGCACAATTATCCCGATTCATCCATCAATTCAAACAAAAACATTATGATGTTATCATTGCAGACAAAGGCAGAGATATTAAATTTCATATTCCACATAGCTGACATATGAGAATTCGAAAGAGACGTACGAAAGAGTAATAATGAAACCTACGTGTTACTGTATGCTCATTTGAGTTGGCTTTAAATTTTGTGTCGACGCCGCGTTTGAATACGAGAATTAAGCTTGTAAAACATCGTATTCTGGAAGTTGGTAATTAATATTTTGCTCAACGTTTTAATAGTAGACAAAATGTATATACATTTGGAACCATACCATAATGTGAGCATTGTTGCGTTCCAGTTTTGAATAGTAAGATTGCTGGTGAAACCACGGAACGGATGGGATTGTCAACAATACGTCACATGATGGAATGGGCAGCGTCAGTACCCCCAAGATCTTTGCGACTTATAACTCTGGGCACTACAACTGTTATAATTATTAGGGGTGTCGCTTACGTTATCTTAAATATGGTGTTGTATACTAAATAGAAATATACTAAATCTTATAAATATACTATATCTTAACACTTATTCAGGCAGATCTTCATAAAGTTTAAGCCACGTAAATTATTTGAGTGTGAAAGTTGAAAAAAAAAAGAAAGTAATTGTTCTCAAATTTGTGTTGAATTAATATTCAATTATGTTTTTGTGAAATTATTCCACTAATTTATTATAGTTATTAACACAAAGATCAAACACTTAAACAAATCCTTCGATCCGCCCGGATTTGATCCTATGCGTTCTAGCAAACCGTGCCAGATGCTATGCCAGCTAAGCCACGGAACGAACCAGCGGCTCTCACGAAAGTAATTGTTCTAGAGAAATTCCAAGAAGTATAAACTGGAAGTTGGAATGCAAAATATAGTGCCGATCTATACAACAAGCTCATAAAACATTCGTAAGGTTCACTGGTTCGTTCCTTAGCTCAGTTGGGAGAGCATCTGACACGGTATGATGACGTCTCTGATTCGAATCCAACCGGATCGAATTAATTCTTCTTTTTGTCCGATATTTCTTTAATCAAGTTTCATATGAGTCATAAAGATAAAACACCTAGCAGTATGTTTATAGAGCTACAATTTATTAAGAAGTTACCTTAAAATGCAAGTTAGTCAAAGCCTGATTAAAATCTCCACTATATCTCTGATACTGTTTCATTAATTCATTATCAAAGACGGCTTCAGGGACGGGGACTGGACCAGCTAGTGGCAACCCAAGATTTGTCGTCAAATGAAGAGTTGAATGGAGCTCAGTTTCTGATCCGGCATTTGAGTTCTCCTGGAAAATAAATCTTAAGTTATAATGTAATATTTTTGTTACAAAGCCGCAAAGTAACTGGAAGTACTGGAAGGCCCCAGTACTGCGCCTTGTACCAGTCTTGAAGGAATGAAAGAATAAAACAACATTGGCCATTACATATTAAACCATAAGTGGTTTATAGTAGATTTGGAGGTAAACAAGTCACCAAAGAATTTTGTCTCAATATATATTATACTGTTATTTTCTTCAACCTTACATTTTAAAATACTAAATATACCACGTACCATATCACAACCGCCTTCCACCTGTCGTAGCTCCATCTTCATATCACTAATATTCGAACTTCTGTCACTGTCTTTGAATTGGTCACATGTCTTCCCAACATCCGTAATGTCAGGTTTCTTTACATCCGACTGCCTGGTCTTCCGATGGCACAGCATAATTATCAGCATGATTATGAGGACGAGAACTGCTGCTGAGGAGCCGGCTGATATGATGAGGATTAGAGGTAAGGTTTCTGGAAGATCATTAGTTGATTTATTTATGCTATACTTAAGCGTATTGTAAACTAATGCTCAAAAACAAAATCTCGGACATAAGTTTTGACTTTTTATTGCCTGTCATCATTGACTTATAAATAAATGGACGACGGGTCTAATACAAAAACCACGAAAAAAATGTCCCAAGTCAACCTATTTAAACGTAGTGACATGTAAAGGAATATGAAAAAGCTAAAACGTTGAATTTAAATTGTAATGTCATCGCAGTACTGTCTAATTTTGCTTGCTTCGCTGTCAGTCGAACGAACGAAGACTAAAGCGTGATTGACGCTCTGTATACAATTTTAACGCCCTATAAGTTCGGACACTTTTTAGCGCAGACCCGACGTCCATATAATTGTAAGTCAATGCCTGTCATTAATAATATCTTTGAACCAATTTTTGAAATCCATGTAGATACACCAAAATTAGGAACTGGTAACAATAGCAATATCGTGCAGGTATTCCGCTATTTTGGTTTCAGCTGTAGCATTGCAATAATGTAAAGTTTTTTTCAGACAAATATAGAGATACTTACTATCAGCAACCAATCTTATTTCAACGCTGTCTGTTCCATAAACGTTTGTAACACTGCAGTTGTAAGTTCCGAAGTGTCGTTCTTGACTCTCTCGTATGATTAATGTAGATTTTGTAATTCTATCTGACAATGTTTCTTCCAGAAAAGCATATTCCTATGAACAAAAGATTAAATTCAAACCTTTTACAAATCATTATATTATATTATCGGAGTACCAGAGAAAAGAAGTTAAATCTAAAAACAATAATCAGAACAGTTTTTATTGTACGCCACAGTCTTATAACACTGTCAAAAAAACTCTGTTCAAAATTACACACTACGTTTTTGACATAGCTTTGGAATTTGCAATGTATAAAGTAAAAGTTTGTACAGCTAACTTGTAATTGTCTGTACACAATTATTAGGAAATGCAACATCCTTTTCTACATAACCTTAGTGGTGACAGAATATAATAATTATACATGTAAATTCTTTTATCCTATCAATTCTCTTACCTGGTTATGAAAAGAGTTGATTTCGATTCCATTGAGACTCCACAACACGTAATCTGGCTTCGGTACTGAGAAAGCTACGCATTCAATTTTCACACTATCTCCTTCTACTCCATATTGAGTTTGGTTGGACATAATTTTTGGTGAACCTGTGAAAAAAACAGTAGGTAGCAAATCACACATTTCTGCGCAACATGTAGAAACTATTTTTGTAAAATTAAAAAGTCGGTAAAATAAAGATTTATTTTAATTACAAAGTAATGTTGCAACCACGTTAAACACGCCTTAGTTTGAGATACCTGTACCTGGCGTGCCTTACGTCCTAGTTACCGTACATCTGTCTGCGACGGGCTACAGGCATATACTGTATATTTTGGCCTTTATCTAGAGCTTTACCTACTAATCAAAGAGGTCTGTTCCTGCGCCGTAGCTGTCCAACGATTGACATGAGAAAATAAATACCTTTGGTTGGTTTGTTATCTTTCTGATTGCAAACAATTTTCCGTAAATTTTATTTATTGTTTATATATTAATCTTACTATTCTGCAGATATATTTCCATCATCATTTGCTGGCAGTTCAAGCCAGATCGTTGTTACAATGTCAAGAACATTAGTTACTTCCGTGGTGTGGTACTAAAGTTTTCAAATCATACAAAACGGACTGTCAATTCCGTGCACTTGCCGTCAACCTGTTAGCAGAAGTTAGCAACTAGGAATGTCGTTTCCCAGGTCATTTTGGATTCGAACATTTCGTGAACTAGCAAGTTTAGAAACTTAGATTTGTCGAGTTGGTATTTTCACTTCATTTGATATTTTAGCTAGTTTGTTTTGGAATCAACCTGTTTAACTTATTGTCTATATTATTATACTTTCCGCTTTATTGGGAGTGTGATTGTCTACGTGTATGTTTTGTATGTGTGATTTGAGTTAGTTTATTTCAAAAGTCCAAGATCAATGTGCGACAGAGAAACATGAAACGCAGCATATTAAGTGTAAAGAGGATAGATAGAATTTGGAACATTACACTGCGCTCATAGCACACGCATATCAAATTTTGGGAAAAGGACAGCCAAGCTGAAGTGATACTGGGTGACTGGGTTGGAGAAGGACTTACTCAGCTACTTAGTGAATGCCGAAGACCGCCTGCGATGACGAGACGGACTAAGCAGGAGATGAAAGGACGACTTGGACGCGTATATGAAGTACTCGCTTAACATTTAGCCCTTTTCACAGCAATGGGACACAATACAAGGCTATTTAAAAAAATGTTTCTCAAAAAAATATAAATGACGGCACCATTGTCCAACTTATAACGTATTAATAGTTTTATAAAGTACACAATGAAATCCAGTGATGTAATCGTTTTTGCAGTATCCAGTACCCTACATGAGCAGATAGATCGATATGATAATAATTATAGTAATAACGCACAGGCACTAGAGAAACCCTGTATCGCAGTTACCATGGACGCACATAGACAACCACAAATTACACCCAACCCAAACTCACGAGAGAAATAGATGTAGGCCACAAAAATATTTCTCCTTGCCCGGTAGTCGAACCTAGGACTGGTAAATTCCATGCTTTTTAAACGGTGAAACATTTGCTCACAAAAGTTGCACAAAGTTGGTAACTTCTTCATTTATAATCATTTATCATCTCTTTCCATTTTTCTAGCCTTACCTTTAACATACACCATGGCAGAAGCTTCAACATCAGGATAATTCTCAACACTCGCACGACACCAGTATTGTCCTGCTGTTTCTTGAGATATCGTCACAGTCAAATTTGGCAACTTTCCCATTCTCTATTAAAAAAGCAAATATATTTTAAGTCATAAAAAACACGCTAACTCTTTGGTAAGGGTCATGACGGCATGCCATGATTTGAAGAAGTGATTTTATTTTTGTATTTGTTTACTAATGGCGTAAATGCATAAATATCAAACCCAATTAGAAAAACATTTTTTTTTCATGCCGAAAGGGTTGTTTACGGTTACGTACAACATTGAACTTTGATTTGCTACATTGACATGGTCTAGTTCTAGTTTTATTTTGCTGTAGTAAGATGTAATAAGATGTGCTAGTTCTAGCTATTTTGTTGATGTGGTAAATCGTATTATGACATTTTATTGTTTTTTTTATTATAGTTAGTTACCAACACCTAATCAATAAACATCAATAACATTTAACATTAACATATTTAAAACATTTATAATACTTCGTTTCACATTCTCATTTATAAATAAACAATATTACTTTTAAAGTTATATCATTTTTAATACCAACAACTACTCCAAAAACACCCTCGTGATAACAGTTACCGCGTCGCGATCACGAGGTAACATCCTGTACGGACAGCGTCGCTATTCTGCCCTTACAGTTTGTATTTAAATAAATAAGAATTACGAAAAAGTAGCAATAAAATGATCATCTTTTAACATTGACATAGAGTCTTCTATAATCTCTATTCTATCGTGTCGAACCAACACCCTGCAAGTCCTTGCAGTGTTTCGTAATATCATTACAACAAAAATTTATTAGCTGTTATCAAGGCAAAACAAATTAATTACTTTTAGATAGCAATAGCGTATTCTGCTAAGTATAATTGTAACGCATAGAATTAGTTAATATCTTATGTACCACGTCACTTTATTGTTAGTGTGTTTTCATGTCATTAACCTGAATAATGACACAAGTCGAAGAATCCTTTGTGCAGCTTTTTCTCAAAATGCTGTTTTTGATGTTACAGTGTATTGATTTGACAGGGTAATATTGTAAAAAATCGATATGAAACAAAATTGTTTTTGGAATGAATTTGAGGCACAGTAGAAAATTTTTAAATTGTAACAGTTTAACAATGATCGAATTAAAATTTAAGAAATAAATAAAAACTTTATCAACTAAAGTTTACGAAATTTACAAGAAACCAAAAAAACTCCCAAATACTCCACAGAGTAAACCTTAGAGGATGAAAAAAAAGGAATAGTCTAAGGAGCAAACAATCATTTCTTTTGTAATTGTCAAACTAGACCCGTAATAAAATAACGGAGCAGTTTAAAAAACAAAATACTGCTTATTTTGGGCTTTTTCTGCTAAATGTTATTGTGTTTCTGCCAGTATATATAATATTAGTCATTCAAACTTCGTAGAAATTAATTGTTTCTGTCTTCTCTATTATCGGTTAGAAAGAGATAAAAGATTTCATTTTCACTTCGCAGCTGTCTAGTCGTAACTCTTATCATGTGATAGCTCCAAATCTAATTTCTGATGGTACGTAAGATTCAAATTTGGAAAGGGCTGTCAAATTTAAGAGTTCTTATCTAAAATTAGGTCGTCAGTTCTTTGTCGTCGATTATAAAAGAAATATGTACACTAAATGGAAATGAAATTATTATTTGCGTCTATGTTGATTGTGTTCGCACATTTGTTTTGATATGGCCACATCAGAGAGAGGTATTTTAATAAATAAATAAATTAAGATTTCACAAACGAATCACAGGCACATGGGACTTATCAACATATGTCTCAGGGTGACGGGCGCAGTGGCAGTGGCCCTTAGATCATTACGATTTAAAGCTCTGAGTAGCACTGCAGCCGTTATGGACAGACGTGTAGCTTACCATCACAACTTGTTCGTCCCGTCACTTAATTTAAAAAAAAACCAAATTAATCGATAACTTTTTATGCTAAATGGGTGTTTAATAAAATTTCACATACACATACTCGTAATTAATTGTTTCATGTAGTTCGTTTTATTTTTATGACATTCGTGTGTTGATCTACCAATAAATGGACGACAGGTCCGCGCTAAAATGTATCCGAACCTATAAGGCATTAAATCTCAAAAAGAGCATCGATCCCGTGTCAGTCTTCATTTGGTCGCACGACAGCGCGCGTGTCAATCATGGCATATTGTATAAAAACTTGTAAAAATTACTCGAGTAAAATGAATATTTTAAATTTGACAATAAAGGCTTAACTCCATAACTCTTATGATCAAGTAGTTTTTACTAGAAGCTAAATATGGTGCATTTTGTTAAGTTTCCTGTGGTGAATTTTTGGGCCTATATATTTTTGCATTAAATATTTTATATGTTAACTCCGGACATTTTTTTCTTGGTTTTCATATTAGACCCTGTCGTCCATGTGTTGGTAGGTATGTTATAAGCACTTTTGACAAATGATCATATGTGGTTTTATTATACCGAGGATACGAGTTATAATCTTATACTTACAATGATCCTTTCATTCTCATATCTCAACCACAGTAACTTAGGCTGGGGATGACCATCAACCACGCAAGTAAGGGTTGCAATAGACCCATCTTCTCCTTCCACATTTTCTGGCTTTACTTTAAACGTTGGGCCATCTGTTGACAAATGGATTAACTTTAAAAACTTACATTATAGATCGATTAGTAATTTATACAGGCAGCAACAAAAAGGACGGGCAATGCTTCAACAAATTTAACACACACGATCGCGCACTGGTGCGTAAATATGTTGAATAAATTACATTAAACATATAATTAAAACCTTCAATAAGAATTAATAATACATACCTAATAACGTACACACTCATAGCACTAGGGAAACCCTGTAAAGCAGGTGCCATGACCACACACGTAGACAAGACAAATTGTTTTTTTTTTATATATTATTATATATTGTCTATAGACACACGCTTGGCCACAATCTCATCTGATGTTAAGCGACGATGTGACCGACGATGGGACGTGTTTGCCTAAAAAATGTCTATTCACTCTAGCCTTGAATAGCCCCAAATTGTACTTTTCGGGAAATATAGATTAGAGTAGAGCATTCCATTCCTTTGCCGTACGCATCACAAAGGAGGAAGCAAAGCGCTTAGTGCGAATAGGTGGAATATCAACGACATAAGAATGGAGTGCTCCGGACCTTCTAGTCGACCGAAGAAGGAACGGTGAGGGTGGAACTAAATTGAAAAGTTCCTGCGCACACTCCCCGAAATGTATCCGATAGAAAACCGACAGGCAGGCTACTTTTCTGCGATGGTCGAGATTTTGTAGCTTCGACTGCACAAGAGAATCGTTGTTAATAAGTTTCTTTGCTTTTTGCTCCACCGAGTCTAATGCAACTAACTGGTAATGGGCAGAGCCGTCCCAAAGGTGGCAGAAGTACTCCATACACGATCGAACTTGTGCTTTATACAGAGTTAAAAGCTGTTCAGGTGTGAAGTATCGCCTGACCTTGTAAAGTACGCCTAGATTCTGGCAGCAGTTTTTTCCAAGCACTTGATGTATCGCCCAAAGTTGCGGTTGGATGATAAGTCCAGACCAAGTAGCTAAGGTGGTCCCTTATTGGCACGGATACACCTCGAAAAGTCGGACTAAGGTGCACGGGACTTCGTTTCGATGTGAAAAGACACGCCTGTGTTTTAATTGCATTAAACCTGACCCTGTTCGCATATCCCCAGTCGCTTTCAGGCTCAGGTTCAACCGGGTGACCATCTGCTCTCGTTTACATCGGATCTCTTAGCTGTTGTCTCGGGCGTCTGGCACATAACTCCCAATTACACCCAAACTCACGAAAGAAATAAATGTAGGCCATACAAATATTTCTCGCGGCCCGGGAGTCGAAGCCGGGACCTGCACCAGCATGGTAACCCTTCTGCTACTGAGGCTATTATAATAGTTAAAAATTAAAGTAAAAAATTATAATTTTGTACTAACAAATATATATTATAATTAAGGTTATAGGATAGCAGCCGGATAAAAGGGATCGATTATTTTTGACCTGATTTTTTGTAAAGCGTTTTGTGACGTGCTCAAGCCGATTCCATTTTGAAAAGTGACCTTCCTTAGATTACACAAATGAAGTTCGGTCCAATGTTTAAGGAATGAACCTTAGACCTTGCGAGACTGTGCACTCTGCACGTTAAATTGGCCACTTACTTTTGCTTGATGGCAACAAAGCTTACAATCGGCGAATCGTTGCAACCACAACAACATATTGGAGGTAACAAGTTTCCTTTATAGTGTTGTTATATGGTATTAAATGTCTTTTTGTTGCATACTTTGTAAGTTATGATTAGAACATATTTTTTAACAAAGTCTTTTTGTACTATTATGGAAAATCAGCTTTGGAAGTATTCGAAAGTTGACGGTTGTGACAATGAAATAGGTTAATTAATAACATATTATTAATTAACCTATTTCTTTGTAAAGCACTATATCACTCAATTATAAAGTGGGAATGTTCTATAAGTAATTTATAGAAAATCGACGAGGTTATAGTAAAAAAAATAATAGTAATAACAGAATGGGGTGGAGTGGGAAATCACGCCTCCTAGGCTTTCAGCTAATAATATACTCATTATCGGAAACATGGTTAAAATATTTCATTGCTTAATATACACTGTTTTTTTATGTGAAATAGAATCAGAATAGAATAGAATAATTTATTTCATATTGTCAATGTCACAATATTACTATTAAAAATACAATGTCAAGGGATAATATGATCGTCACTAACGCAAACAATAACGATGAATATAAAATAAAGTAGTATAGTTATACTACTCGACTGCTTGTCTAAATACAACGAAGTCAAGTAAAACAAAATTACAATTGTTTCAGAAGAAACCCATCAACACTGCAGAATTCATTATCCAATAAAAGGAGTTTTAGTCTGATATTAAACGTTTCGTCGTTTGTAGAACTTTGTAGGTCTGTGGGTAGATGTTCGCAGAGTCAAAGACCTATCACCCGCGGATTTCTCGTTGTGAGTTCGATACAGGGGCCAACGGCAACAGATTTTAGTTTTCCAGCGTTTCGCAACACTCGGCCTCCGCCCGTACGTCGCTCATAAGTGCTCAAGTTTTGACGCGCATAAGTATTATGATTACGTCATCATATGGTTTTTTTTAAACGTTTCTGCAGGACTGACCTTTTTTATACCTACTATAGTTCTAAGTGCACGTTTCTAAAGAATAAAAACCCTATTCGACGTAGTTGAGTTACCCCACAGTGCGATGCATCTATAAATGAAAATATGCAAAGTACGTCTGCCTCAATACCAAAGTGGATACAAGAGGTCGCAGTTTCCTTAAACGTATGTCGTACAAAAATATTATAATATTCATATATTTTTTTGTGATATAATACCACTAGTTTGTTGTTATTATTGATAAAAAATCGAACAAACACAAAGAGAAATTACTTCGATAGGAATCGATCGAAAATCGAAGAAAGTCACTGGTTCGTACCCAGCTGGATCGAAGGATTTTTTTTGTTTATTCGTTTATATCTTTGAATCCTATAAAAATAATTAATTGAATTGAGTTTATCGATTTTGTTTCCGAGTAAAGTTGGCCGCGCTCGCAGGACAGAAATGAGGAGGGACATTAAAGGCAGCTAGCAGCAACAATAAGAATTAAATTGATCATTATTTGGATATGTAATTTACTGGATTATCCATGTACACTCTCCATCAATAGCGTCTGCTATTCAGCAAAAATAGGTGATTTGTTTTTATATAAGATTACAGGTCCAGTTGCCCAGTTGCCTAGTCTCTCACTAGAGTTGTTAGTCTTTATTCAATGGAAGATTTGTGCTTTTATATTATGATATTAGAAACAGTAGATCGCCTTGTAAAAGAGTTCGTCCAGGGAAGTACTGCTACTTTACTTATTTCTGCCATCAACCAGTAAGGTGATTCTTACTGCGTTCCAGTTTTGAAGGGTAACGGTGTTCTTGTATGACAAAAATGGATGAAATTACAGACACAAAGGATCTGTCAATTTATGTCTCTGGTTGACAGGCGCAGTGGCGTTGCTCTGTTCTATAATAATTTAAACATTTGTACATTTTTTTTTTTTTTTTTTTTTTTTTTTTTTTTTTTTTTTTTATATACTAAGCTCGACAGATGACTCCGTCCCACCTGATGTTAAATGAAACGGAGTCCAGACGCAAGGACAACTGGTGCAGCGTGAAAACAACGCATCATCAGTCGCCCTCACCCTGCCGGCCTACAAGGTGCTTCTTCACGCCTCGCTTGAAGGACCCCAAGTCATAGGAAGGAGGAAATACGTGTGCTGGTAGATTGTTCCATCTTTTGGAAGTGCGACAAAGAAACGAGTCACCAAATTTCTTTGTGCGCGATGGAATGCTAGAGACAGTATAGCGGTGACTCCGGAGAGCAGCACGCGTGCTCCTATGGAGGAAGGGAGAAGGTGGGATAAGGTCAAAGAGTTCTTCAGAGCACTCGCCGTGGTATAAACGGTAGAAAGCGCTGAGTGACGCAATATCTCTACGCAATTGCAGAGGTTCGAGAGTATTAGTGACCTCTGCATTGCCGATAATGCGTATAGCGCGCCGCTGCAATCTGTCCAAGGCATCGAGAAGGTACTTAGCGGAACCGTCCCAGAGGTGCGAACAATACTCCACGCACGATCGCACTTGTGTCTTATACAAGAGACACAACTGATCCGGCGCGAAGAAGCGTCGCACTCTGTTCAGGACACCGAGTTTACGTGAAGCTGTTTTTATCACGGCTTCAATGTAGTCCCTCTGGTTCAGATCGCAGCGAATCTCCGTACCGAGCATGCTAATGCTGCTCTGTAGGCTAAGTGGTGTGCCCTGAAGAGAAGGAAGGGGAAGGAATGGCGTCTTTTTTGCCGTGAACGCGCACACCTGTGTTTTCTTGGCATTGAACTCAACAAGATTATTGGAGCCCCATTGAGATATGAGGTCCAACACCCGATTGAGCTCAATGACAAGATTCACTCGCTTCTCTTCAGTCTCGACCCGCCCAGCCGCAGGGTGACCATTATACCCTCCGTGCACTGTACTATCATCTGCATAGCAATGAATATTTCCAAGTGGAAGCATATCATTGATATGCAGAAGGAACAGCGTGGGGGATAGAACGGACCCCTGAGGGACACCAGCGTTCACTGACATGAATTCCGAAGCGCATCCGTCTGACAGCACTCGGATTCTGCGCTCATGCAGGAAGCCAGCGACCCAGTTGCAGAACTGGGCAGGCAGGCCGTATGACGGGAGTTTGGAGAGAAGAGCTTTGTGCCAGACCCGATCAAAAGCCTTGGCTATGTCAAGGCTAACAGCCATCGACTCGCCACGCTTATCAATAGCCACACCCCAGAGATGTGTAATAAACGCTAAAAGATCACCCGTTGACCGTTTCGGCCGAAACCCGTATTGACGATCGTGAATTAAGGAGTGTTCTTCTAGGTAGTGGATTAGCTGTTTATTTAAAATCCGTTCCATCACTTTACACAAAACTGAAGTTACGGCTATTGGGCGGTAATTATTCGGATCTGATCGATCTCCTTTTTTGGGGACCGGTTGCACATTAGCCTTTCTCCAAG